TCTCTCTCTCTCTCTCTCTCTCTCTCTCTCTCTCTCTCTCTCTCTCTCTCTCTCTCTCTCTCTCTCTCTCTCTCTCTCTCTCTCTCTCGTGTGTTATTGCCGTGCCGTGTCAGCACTGACAAGGTGAAGAACATTTTGTCACGCTCTGCAGACCATCCTCCAGCAGAACCGAGATGAACCGCTTTCCATCTCCCCGAAATCGACTATTTTCCTTCGGCCCATATCCCTAAAGGAGCCATACCTCATCGGTGAAACATTTGTGGGAAACCTCCACATTTATGAGCTCTTGTAGAAGCTGATACATTCTCCTCCTCATTTTTGCCTTCTACACAGAAGGCAGTGGCTACAGTTTTCAATCTGTCATTGAGAGCGCCATTGCTTCAACTACCTGTTGTGGCTGGAGCCCAGAGGCCCCAGTCAACAACACCCACCCAACAATGGCTGAGAGGCTCTTAGATAACAGCGGCGACGAAGCCATCGCAAGATATTCTGTCCCCAGCACAACAATAGATACAGCAAGGTGCCTGCCACTGTCTGACCATCGTCAGAGATTCTGCGCAAACAAAAGTAGATGCCAAGAGCCACGGCGCCGGTTAAGTCCACAGCTTCAAACAAACACTGGCACAACACCATCTTGCCAGAGGTTGGTCGCCCTGCGTGAGATAGTGCACTATGCGTGGCATGGGGCCTTTGCTTCGGAAATCGCTGGGAGGCGTAGCATGTAATTTCATGTAGATGTAGCGGAGATATCACTGCCCATGAGTTCCCTTGGCAATCTCCCCGTCCTTGTGCACATTCGGCCAAACTTCGAAAACTTTTCCGGCTTCTTATCAATCGGTCATGTGGCAGTCATGTCAGGTCCCACCTACCTCTGGATGTCAGCTCGGCAAGCTGGACTTCTTTCGACTCCTCGTCTGTCCTTCGGTTCATCACCCAGCTGAAATCACCTGTTTGGTACAGATCACCGTGAACTGCAGAACAAAAGCATTGAGTGTCACTCAGAGTGCCAATCACTCCTCCTCCCTATGCCCATCCTCGAAAAGTCCCTCAGCCCTGGAATCGCTTCTAGAATCTAAATTTATCCCACCAACTCTTCCCCTTTGCTATTCCCCCTACCCAGTATAACCATATAAACAAACGGCTGCCTGCAGCAGCACATAACTACAGATTCCCCCCCCCCCCCCCCCCCCTCCTGACTCCCTCCCAGCATTCCCCTCTCCTCCACACAATCCCAGCTCCTCCACGTCAGTGAAGGAAATGAATAGCAGCGTCCTTCGAACTTCGTTCCATTCCTCCTGGTATGTTCACGCCGCAGTGATTATGTCAACATCTCAGATAAAGAAAAAGAAAAGTGATGAAAAAGGAAGAAAAGTGGGCTCCCGCAAATTCCGCCACAAGATGATGAGCAAGCATCCTTGGCGGCTCGCAATCTGGCCACTCCCCTCCACCACTCCACTCCACATTGTATTTACGTTAATCCAAAGTGCTGATCACACTGACCGACTACATAAACGTGCAGACTCCAGACTCATTTAACTGTCATGAAGAAAAAACTTTTGAGAGTTCCATTCACTCCTCGTCCACCCGCCGATGAAAAGGGAGAGCTGCCGTGCCTCCTCTCCCAGACAACTGTCATCTTTGTGGGCTGTTCATATCAGACAAACTGGCCATTCCTGCATCATAATACCCGATGTTTGGCACACCACAACCACCAGTGCAGGCTGCGCGGGCCCCGTATTGTAGTCCCGATCCCCCTTCACATCTCGCAGTTAGCTTGATGGTATTGTTGCCTGCGTTGCGAGATACGTCGATGCACTCCATCAAATCCTCGTTGCTCGACAGGAGGACATACTCCCCTTCATCATCAAGGTACTTCATGACGAGCGTTGTCGTGTCCAGCTTTAACCTCTGCGCAACCTCCTGCTGGAGATCATCAAAGCAATGACCGCTGGGAAGGCGAAACCTTGCTGTGTCTTGCCCAAATGTTACCTTCACCGTCACATCGCTCGTTGTCACCGCATTTGAATCTCTGCCACCACCTCTGAAGCCCCTTGGCCACTGAGGCAGGTTGTCGATCATGGATGAGCACAACATCTGTGGGGACAGCCCAAGCGCGCCTACCATGCCAACTGCTCCGACTCCTGGAGATCCTGCTTTGCCAGAGCACATCCCAGTTGAACAGCTTGTATTGGAGGGAGAACTGGCGGTCATTAAGTTTGGGGTGAGAGAATTCCCTAGCATCCGCATAGGCCTCGCAGGGCTCCTTGGGGTCATACCACCTCCACCGGCTGCCGTTAATCCCATGGCCGATGTATTTGACTGCCCAGCTGTCATCCCGATCCCCCCTCTCCGGCCACTGTATGAGATACCATAACCTGCTGGCTCCGTATTCTGCATATCACAGTCCCGACCAGGGGTTGCCCCTCCTCCCACATCTCCAGGGCCGTTTATGACCCTTAGAGCCGCCAATGCAGCATCACCACCATGCACTCTGCTCTCAATTGTCGATAACAGATCCATGGTTGTCACATGGCCCAACTGCCCAGTTGAGCTGGGCGATCCAGTGCCATCCCACCGGAAAACTTGCCCGCCACATGAACTGCCTCCGTCTCCACCACCTCTCCCACTCATGCAGGCAATTTCCCCCTCCTGAGCCCTGCAGTTGCTGCCAACACCCGTTCCTTGCTGCCCATGCACCCCCTCAACTGCCGTACCCCTCCTGCCAGACATAGATCCCCCTGCAGCTGTTATTGTCCCAAATCCTGATACAGACCAGGTAGGCACACCCTTCAGGTCACCCCTGCTTTCTAAACATTGGTATCCGCCGGGCCCTTGGGCCATCCCAGATACGGCCGCCCAGCCTGTCGCCTTTCCACCCCGCCTTAACCCTGGTTTCACACCCCAGGCCCCACAACTAGTTTCACAATTTGATACACCCTGCATCACCCTGTTCTCAAAAGACTTCCCGCTATGGTGAGAACCATTACCCAGATCCGATCCCCTTTCCGTAACACAACGAACTTCATCACCATGATTGCTTCCTCCCTCTTCTGTGGTGTCCACATCCACCACTCTCACTGGCCCTCCTCCTCCCATCACACCTGTTTGCTGCTGCTGCTGGTTCTGCACTGCACATCCCATAGCTGGATGTAGAGACGAAAAGCTTCTCTGCAATGGTTTGTTCTCCATAGAGTCTGATTCCGCACTGACATTTATGGGAGGGGTCTGGTCGGTTCCTGACGCTGGTGAGCCACCCATTCCCAAAGCTTGCTGCTGCATCATCCCCCGAGTTCCACCACTCCCCTTCTGTTGTCCCCCTCCTCGCACCCCGGGGTTCCCGCCTGCTGAACCTGCTGCCGCCCATGTCACGCCCCAGTCTCCTAGGGCTGCTGCCGTCACAGCACTTTCTGGTGTGCTCAGGCCTGCATCTGCTCCGTGGACACCCAGAACTGGATGGGTTGCTGGACCAGGAGCCGAAGATGGACCTCCCATTGCTGTAGTGCTTAACGTTGAGCCTCTACCAGGCCCGTTGTTAACTGCCGCACATGTCGCCGCCCCGAGTGCTCCAAGCGCAGCAATGGCTGACAAATCGTCAGCAGCAGCACCCAGCAATGGATTGATCTGAAGACCTCCATCCTTCCCTTGCACACTATTTATGACTCCCTGCAGCTTCTTGATCGAGCGACTGACCTTGTTGATCTTTCGTGATGGCCACCGTTGAATTCCATGCTGTCGGCAAATTCTTTTCAGCGTTGTTGGACAAACTCCAATCTGCTTTGCTGCATCTTTGAGGCTTCCAGCGAAATATTGTTGGAGGACACTCAAATCAATTGTTTTCTCCATCGTCCCCCGTCTTCCCCTCTCCGCTCGACGCAGTGCACCGGTTGCTCCTTCTGCTTCGGGAGCACCCTTTGCTGCAGCTCCTGCTTTCCCTCCTCCGCCGCCTTTTGCTTTCCCCCCAGTGCTGCCCTTGCCCCTTCTGTTTGCAGCAGCAACGTTACTTGCCTCCGGCTCGATTGGAACCTCTGGATCACAAACAGGTTCGGGAGCTTGGATGTTCCTACTATGCCCACACAATCCTTCCGCTTCCATATCGTTATCTATGCCCTCTCCACTATCTTCCTCCTCATCCTCCTCATCGTCATCCTCTGCATCCTCGGCAATAATTTGAACGATGACACCATCTCCTCCTGCCGATGCCGCAGGTGGGCCCAAAGAATTGCACTGGGTCGCTGGATTCATCGCTGCCCCCTTGAACACTGCCCCTTGGAATACCTCCTGACCAGAATCCATGATCCCATTGCTTCTCTCGCTCTCCAGCTCTGCCTTTGTAACAGGCCTCAGGGTTCTACAAGCCCACTGCATGGAAACCGACAAGCCAGACAAAAGAAGTTGCTGCTGGTCGTGGGCAGCACAAGACGTCGGTAGAAAGAATTCGAGGATGTAGTCCGCCATACCGCTGTGGGAGCTCCTCAGCCGAATCGATACCGCAGCACCAAGCCCGAACATCCGGGCGTAATGGGTGAGAGGATACTGCAGCTTGCTCAACCGCTTGACATCCTCTGCATACGCCGGCGCACAGGTCATCATGGCTCGGCCAGGGGTGCCCTGTCCTTCCTCAAGCTTGTGCTCGCAGCAAGCATTTCTGAAGCCCCACATGATGGGGTTGCTTACGTAGAAGGGTGCTTCCGTGGTAGACAGGCTCCAGCTGCCCTTCTTCTTCTTGCATCCCTTGCTATCACTCGACGCATCTCCTTCTTCGATTTCGTCAATGTAACAGAGTTGCTTTTCTTCCTGTTGCTCCTCTCTCTCGCAGGGAATCCAGCACTGCGCAATTGGCAGATCATGCTGCTGACTAACTTGGGTCAGCACCTCTGAGATCTCTGCGAGGATCAGCCCATGAGCTAAGGACGGAGCCTGAAGAAGCGCAAGGAACACGTCCACAAGACATAGTCAACGGTCTTTTCGAAATTTGAAAGGGAAAAAGCTTCAAAAAGCCCAACTTGTTCATACTCAGTGTTGCACAGCGTTTGCAAAAGTTGAAAAAAGTTGAAAAAAGTTGAAAAACATATGAAGCAGGACAATCAGAGAACCCTCAAATTCCCCTCCACAGTTGCCCTTCTTCTCCTTCTCTTATAAAGTTTCTTTTGAATAAATAGGGCCTTATGGTCCTGGCTCCATAGTACATACCCATTCTGGGGAGCATCAGTCCGGTTCCTATTCCCCCAGCAAGTCAATAAAATCAGGGTACATGGTATACACCCTCACGCATCCTTCCATTTGGCTGAAGGACCCCTGACCAGCATTGATTGCTCCCTGTTACAGGAGAATTGACTGTCAGCTTGCCCTTCCCATGTATGTATGCCTCTCAGGTCCCTTGTGTAGGCCTGTAAGTTCTGGCAATTCGCATCAAGAATCATAAGAGGGCAACCCTCCTTCCATCCACGCGTCACGATCTTGCTGGGCTTTGAGACCTTTCTGTCTGGACGTCCTGTCTCCGTAATGGATTCTCTGAATTGTGCCAATCTTTGAACTTAAGTCGCATGTCACTAATGTCTGTCACCTTGCCCTGCCCTACCCAAGTTCGCTGCTTCTTCTTTTCTTTCTTTTTTTATTGTTGGATTTTTTTTCCTTTCCCGTGTCATCCTTGCATAGGGCCCATGCTAACCTTCTCTACGTTTGGTGGCGCGCAGTGAACATTTCGGTACGCGCGCCCCTCTGCACACTCCCCTGCCCTCGATCGCCTTCATCCGCCGCCCCTCACCAAAACTTCGACCCAAATCCGCCGCGCAGCGCGTCATGGACTTCCCCCCCTGGCCAATGCTGCTTAAAGGGATAGGATTCCGCTCCAATTCTAACGGATGTCCCAAAGGACTGCCCACCACAGTTCTTTGTTTTCGTTTTCTCGTTCCTGGCTGTAAGCAGTGGCTGCAATTCATGGCAAGCATGATGATCTCCACTGGACAATCCACCGAAAAGAATCAGGTATGATTGCAATGAAGTTAATGAACCCAGATCTTGATGCTCACCTTTCCAAGACAATTGACACATGCGCTTCACACGTGAAACTCGGAAGACAAGAGGTCGGAGGAAGAGGAAAGAAGAACATGATGGACGCAAGAAGAAGCATTAATTTCATTAGAAAGTTATAGAAACCAAAGAAGACAAAGCCGTTCTTCTCCCTCTTCGGCTCCGGGTACTTCTCCACCAATCACCTCTCTCTCCATCTTTCCAATCCAGCTCTTCGCTCATTGACCAACACTGCTTCTGTCTTGCCAATCTGTCTTTAACGTCTCTGGCACCCTGGACTCGTAAGGAAGGCGCAACTCAGCAAGCCTGGATATAACATTTCAGCACACCTTGGACAGCCAAGAAGGCTTCGATCGTCAATGGCCGACTACCAAAGGGGACTGTCATAAGTCTGTCATCCAGCCTCTAGGACAACCTGGACTTCGAGAGAAAAAACGAAAAGAAAAAAAGAGGAAGAAGAAGAAGAAGAAGACACCAGGTAAGCACTCCTTTCTCACCCCAACCCATACCTCACCTCGAACCTCCTCTCCCTCTTTGTCGTAAAGCTACAGAAGCAGCGTTCCGTAGGAATGGCTGCCACAGAAGAAGGAAGGAGGAGGAGAAGAAGGAAGAAGAAGAAAAGAAGAAGAAGAAGAAGAAGAAGAAGAAGAAGAAGAAGAAGAAGAAGAAGAAGAAGAAGAAGAAATCCTCCTCTAGCCTACTCCTCTACCAGAACAGCGCTGCTCCGGCAGCACGGTTCCATGACCTCCGACTACTGTGTACCTCAACTGAAGGCGGTCCAGCTATATATAGCACTGGGGCTACTGGAGACTGCATCGGTCTGCATCCTCGATCGTCCGATTGTGACGTCGATCGACAGTCCAGAATCCAGGCCCACGAACTGGTCCTGAGACCTGGCCTAAACTCGGCCTGCCTGGCTCCCAACCCCATGTTCAGGTCCCTCCGCTGAGCCAGCAGATGTGTCCGCAGATGCGGATGGAAACATGGGCTGGACCAAAAACGAGGTCCAGCCAGAAAACGAACGTGCCAGGCCTGAAAAATGGCCGATTCACCTGAATCGGCTCAGAAATGCTAAACCAATACATCTGGACCAAAAAATCTGAATCCGACAACGAACTGCTGAAACAAAGTATCCAAACTCGCAGCCAACACCCCCATATTAATGTCGGGCCCTGAAGAGGCCCGTGTGAGACGCGTGCATATCAGAGTGTGCCTGGTCCAAGCGGGTCTGGAAGTTTCTGGAAACTTTGCTGTGCCTTTGGATTGCGTGAGGCCGGTGGATGAATCGACTTACGTGAAAATATTTGACTCTTGGTCTACTGTGCCCAGGGTGGACTTGCCTGCCGACTTCCGTCACGCCTGACATCTAAGCGGTGGTTCTTCTGTGCCAGCTGTCTGAAAGGCGGCCGTCGATGCTCCGACTACCAAGGCCTCTCATCAAGATGCTCAGCAAGGCTGAGTCTCAAGACTCTCAACACACAGGTCGGCCAATCGTTATGCACTTGTCCACCCGATCAGAGGACCTGGAACATCCGCCATGGATACCATTGCGCCCATCAGTCTACACCGCACCTATCCTCTGGACTCTCTCTTCATACCTTCCCTCTGCTCGCTGTTATGTCCTGCCTACAGGGTTCGCTTTCGTATCATCATAAGTTGATTGAAATCCTTTCTTTCTGTGTGACTATGGACAAATTCGTGTCTCGTGACGTCGCCACTAAGCATGGGTCAAGCTTATCTTCTCTACATCGCTCCAATTTTTCACGATGTGCCAACTTCTCCCGAGAGGTATGGCAAGTGCCTTCCCGATAACACGATGCTGAAAAGACGCAAAGGAGCAAGAAGGCAGAGGACGCAGGGAAGAATAATAGTGGTGTGAAAATGAACATGCCATCTGTGGGTCACATGTCACAGGTGGCGTGACGAGCAACAAGATTGGCTTGGTTTCCCATTTGAGCCAGCAGAGATGACAGCACTTCCCCGCATGACATCCAGAATCCAGCGTGCCCACCAAATCAAATAGAATGTCCTTGTAACCTCGCCACACCACTGCTGAAACAAAACAGAAACTTCGAAAAAGTACGAGGGCACTATGTAGCACTGTGTTTGCATTCGGAGACGAACACGAACAAGCGCCCCAAACCCTCCGAACACGAACGTAAAAAATATTATAAAAAATCATAATAATAAGTTCTCAGAAAAATCTGAAAAAAAATATATGTTATGTAAAATAACAAACAAGCAACTTTTGCCTTGGAGTCATGTTCAAATTCGAAGCCAATCATGAGTTAAAAATCAAAAACCGAAAAAAATATTTTTTATTTATTTATTTTTACAGAAAAAAAATTATGTTCGCCCGAACATGTTCGCGAGCTGTTCGCGCGAACGTGAAGGGACGCCAACACGTTCGCCGTGCTACGCATCGGAGGGCATATTCCAGAGAAAGTGGCAAGATGCATTCATCACTATTTATAGCAACGGATGCAATCTTACCACTTTCTGGGACCCCTTTTAAACTCGTTATAAAACCTTTTTTTATCAAAAAAGCATAATATGGTGTTTTCTGTGTGCTCTTCATGTTTGTCTTCTCTATTTTTATCATTTGTTTTGCAAAATGCGCTCTTCTAGTTGATAGATATGTGACAATAATATGTACTCTGAGAAATTGCGAATAGGATCCCCGAGTATGCGCCTCCCCATACCACAGTCAGTCTTAAATGAAAAGATACCCTCCCCAAGGTTCGCATAAGAGACGGATTGAAACTCAGTCACCAGTGCCCTCTTGGGAAACACAAAAGAAACAGAAAAAAAAAGAAAAAAAAAGAAAAAAAAAAGGGCAATGTCATCCTCTCATGATCCCCTTGATGTCAACTCCACAAGAGAAGGGAGCTTAGGACAGACCCCCTCAGTGGTCACAAGAATCAGCTTGGCTGCAGCATAGTAGCGCACATGAATACCAGGTGGTACGTCCCCGACAGGGGCTGCAGATGCAGAGAGGCCAGGCGGGGTCAAGAGCAGGGTCTTCGTGGATAGAGGGATTAGCCCAACATAGATTAGAGGGGAACAGGACGCTGGACCCGGTTTCCATCACAAGCCGAAGCTGGGTAGCAAAATAGCAGCCCCAGTAATCCCGCGGGTTGAACTGCGAGGTCCCCAGCCTCGTTCCATTATAATTTGTAATGCAATCGCTTCTTGAAAAGAAGAGGGGGGGGG